TTGTACTGTAGGCACGTCAAATAAGGAGGAAGAAGATGTGGAAGTCCCAGGTTGAGGTTGGTCGGAGGCCGCAGGGAGGCCAAGTCCTGTGGTGATCTGGGCCTTGTGTAACAGAGATCAGAACATCTGCGGCCGGAACAAACCGACAAAGGAGGGTTGGTCAGGCTCTAAGCCCTCATCCTCCGACAAGTCATTATCTATGACGGCCTGGCCCTCCTCCCCTGACAGTGATCCCTGGCTGTCTCTAGACGGGGAAGCTGCCCTAGCAGGAGCCTGAGAAGAGGCCTGCAAGGGTTGAGAGCTGACCGAAGGCGCCTGATGGCTCAAGTACTCTGAAACTTTAGATGATGCTCTCTCCTGTAACCCCTGGGCAATACCCTGTCGTATGGAATCAGCGATTAACTGAGCTAAGGCAGGGGTAACATCCAGCTTCTGACTTTGAGAAGCCTGTAGCTCAGGATTTCCGATTTCACTAGAAACAGCTTTTGGATTGTGAGACACTTGGGCAGGCGCAACTACAGAAGTCTCAGTCGGAAAAACCGTGGCTGTGTCAGGTACCCAGGAATCCCCCATAACGAAGATATCTGGAGAGAGAGGAGGTATTGGGTCGGGTTGTGGTAAGGCCCCATGCCTGGAAGAAGCCTGAAGGGACTCTGAATTTGAGGAATCCTCTGGAAGCCCTTTAGAGGAGGAAGCTGCCTTATTACAAGCTTTTTCCATGGCCCTGTGTCTCCTCCGTTCATCTCTGGACATAGGCTGCTCTTGAGAAATACTCGTTCTAGATTTCTTAGATTGAGAGCCAGAGGAAGATTCCCCTTCAGGGCCTCACTGTGGGTGAGGGCGTTTCCCCTTCTTGCCTTTAGTAGAAACAATAATATCAGCCATATAGAAGGTTGAACAAAATGGCCACCGGGACAAGGCAAATGGCTCACAGTAGTGACACAAAATGGAGGCTGAATTAGCCAAGGGCTCCCAAATGGCCTCTCACTCTCAGTTCAATAGGCCCCAACTGTGACAATGGACTGTACTCACTGCGCCCAATCGAAGCTCAATGGTTAGGGCAATACAAAGAAAAGTGCTAGCCAGCCAGTCGTAGCACATTAAAACAGCGCCGAGGCCGCCCACACGCCAAACCAGGCACACGCTATCCAATTGAGCCGTTCTCTGTCTTCAGAGGCTCGCGCTGTCGCCGCTATCCCTGAGAGCCTCGCTCCGCTTCCCAGAGGCTCCTGTTGAAGGCGGTGAGCAAACCGAGTGCTAGCCAGCCGGCAAAGCACTGGAATAGCGCGGAAACACGTCGCGCTAACAAGCAAGCCGCCGGGCGCTCGAATGCTGTAAATAGCGCTCCTTCGGCTGCAGGGCAGAATGGCCGACGTGACGGAGCGAACTCGTGCGCGTGGCAGGTGGATCGCCAGCCGGCAATTTCCACCTAGCGAGGTGGCATGGGAGCTAAGCAGCTGCAACGCTGAGAGAGAATCAGCCTCGCTTGTTTTTCTGCCTTCTGACGAATTTCGCCCTTTCTATAATTTTTTTTTTTTTTTTAGTTAGGACTGACAGAAGTCTCCCTAAACACGATCGGTCCTGACTCGACCGAGTCGAAAAACTGTCAGTCAGCAGGCAGGAGGAGGGACTTCCTTCTTTTCAAGTTAACCCGGTCCAATAGCAACTCTACCAAGTCACCACCCATCCTGACTGCCGTGCCCGATTGGAGGAGAAGATGGAAACTGGCAAAGCTCTCACCAATTTCTCTGCATTCACTTTGTTTGGGTTACTAAATGGAAAAAGCACAGTTGGGAAACTGGCAGATAGTAGTGCAATGATGTAGATTCAAAGGGCAAATCATGGGTCCATAAGTGGCCCGTTTGAACATTAAACCAAATGTATCTTTTCATCAAGAGTTATGCAACAGTTGTGGAGGAAACTGCTCAGTTCCAGGAGAAATATGCTTCAAATTATTTTGCCCTTCAAAACAGATTTCTTCATTGCCTTCCTCCTTAGCATTACTCTTAACAGAGTTGTATGACTACTGCAGGGATGGGTTCTACTTACCTTTACTACCGGTTCGCAATGGAGCTGTGTGCACATGCTCTTCTGCGCATGCGCAGAAGCATTTTCATGACGTCAGGGTCAGTGGGCGGAGCCTCCTGCCGGTTTTATTACCAGTTCTATAGAACCAGTGCGAACTGGGGGCAACCCACCACTGGACTACTGACCACACAAGGCCCACACCAGACTTTTTGGGACATATTGTCTAGTGATTTTTCCAGTTGTCCTTTAGGAAGGCTGTTAAAATGGACTTGTTTAGCAGAGACTTTTATCTGGCATGGTTCCAGTGGATTGAGAAGCCAGCAAACATTTATATAGGATGTACTATTGAGTTGCTTACTTGTTCATTGAGACCTCATTTTGTGTATACAGAATAGAAACATAATGAATGAATGAATGAATGAATGAATGAATGAATGAATGAATGAATCATCAACAACTTCATTCTAAAAGCACAGGGGACCAAGTGCTTCGGGAGATAAGTTCAGATGGGTACCTTATACATCTGAAAGCTCAAAGCATCTATTTTTCCTTAGGTACTCCAATTTTCCTCCCCTCCTTAACACAAAAGAGGCTTTTATATTTTCCAATACTCCCCAAATGCAATAAAGGCTCCACTGGATGGAACTGCAGAAATGAGAAATCAGTGCTGGCAAGTTGCATGTGACCCCTGTAATTAGATTTTTGTTTGTTTGTTGTTTGTATACAGTACCTATGTGGCATTCAGGAGCTGGGAAAAGAAGTAAGGGAAGATTCTTTTCAAAGGAAACACAAAGCCATTCCATCTGAATGGCTTAACTCTTTTTAATTGTTTAATTTAATTTGTTCTTAAAAACAGGAGTGTTTTAATTAGTATGGACCAAATTTATTTAATACGTTTTAAATTGTTTTTTAAATTTTATATTGTATGTGTTTTATCTTGGCTGTTCACCACCCTGAGTCCTTCGGGAGTAGGGCGGTATATAAATCTAAATAAACTGAAACTGAAACTGAAAAATTAAAACAAAGCAAAACCCTCAATCAATCAATCAATCAGAATAGAGCTGGAAGGGACCTTGGAGATCTTCTAGTCTAACCCCCTGCTCAAGCAGGAGACCCTATACCAGGGGTGTCAAGCTCACGTTGTCACGGCAGCGTCACATGACATATCGGGACCTTTTCCTCCTTCGCTAAACCGGGTGTGGCCATGGCCAGCATGTGATGCATCTGGCCTGCAGGCCGGGAGTTTGACAGCCCTTCTCTATACCATTTCAGACAAGTGACTGTACAGTCTCTTCTTAAAAACCTTCAACCTTCAGAAGTATCCACAACTTCTGACGGCAATAAACAATACTTTCAACTACATTGCAGCTGAACTAGAATTACATGGACTCATTTTCCCAGTGCTCATAGTACCCTGGAGCTTCTTTCTGACTGGCAAATAATCCAAATATAGGAGTGTCCTGATCAAAGCCTGGGTATTCCTTGTCAGATCATTTTTGGCTATTCCCTTTGTAATGATGTACTGTCAATAAATGTCTCACTTCAGAAGACACCTTGCAAGGATAGCCACTCAAATGAGTCCAAATTCCAGAGACAATAATAATCCTTCTAGTAAAGAATAGTTTTACCTCTGACATCCCTCTCCATTCAGTACTCCACTCAGATCACACTGCTAGAAGGGAGGGCTGCTCCTGACCTAGCTCTAGAAATGGGAGGAAAAACATTGGATGGCATTCCAGCTCAGCGACCTTTGCATATAGGAAAGATGAGTCCCTCTTATTCCCCACAGACAGCCCTAGTATGAAATGGGAAAGTGGAACATGCATTTCTCTAAATACGGGATGAATCTGCTTCTTGCTTTTAACCTACCCCTTAGATACATAATTTTACTTAAATAAATAAGGAAAATAAGAAGGGAAATAAAAGAATAGGAATTGAAATGTATTAATTAATTTGCATCATTATTCTAACAATAAAGAGCCTACAAAAATGCAATCATGGCCAATATTCCTTAACATACTCTGCCTTATTGGGTAAATGGTGACTTAAGTAAATGTATTTTCATTAGCATTTTGATTTCTTTTTGTAATTTCTGTAATTTTGTAGAAATTGAAGTATCAGAACAATTGTCCTGAAATTGTCCCCCCCCTTTATTTCTAATTAAAAATACCTTGAAATGGACTGTTCAGCCTTATTCAGCCTTTTGCCTTTTCTCTACTGAAAATGTCAAATAATTCCTATATCCTCTCCCCACCTTACCAGCTGCAGTAAACAGACAAAACAATGATAGTGTACTGAATTTCCTTCATGACAAGTATTTGCACACTTCACTCTTGAAAACTCAGTATGACAAGAAGGGGAGTTCTAGCTGCAGCTGTTTTTCCGGCCCTTCACACTTGCTGCTAAATGTAAACAGGCTTAGTGGGCCTCAGCTGGCTCCCAGTTGCTATGGGATGGATTGCTTCCACCACAAGTTCAGAGCAGGAGGTAGTGTAGTTATTTGGTACACATTGAGATTTTCAAGGAGTTCTAGCAGCCAGAAAAGAATCAAACAAGCTGATATATGTCCCTTCTTATGCATTGCTGTTGCTTAATATTCCTGATACTCTTGAAGCATCTTGTTCCCTAATATTTCCTGCAATTCAGCAGCTCTTAACATTGGTTCTAGCTTCCCAGAATGCCACATTGCAGTGATGTCTACAGGAGCAGTTACCAGCAGTGTTAGCTGAAAACTATGGCAATGAAGAAATGTTGTGTGTGTCATATTTTGTCCTATTTCTTCATAGCTGCAACTGGCAGAGCTCCTCTTAATTTGACAAAAGGGAAGGGAGGGAGGGAGGGAGGAAGGAGAGGCACTTCCTTTTCTCCAGGTCTCATTTTCCCATGACTCAGTCATGATTCAGACCTTGCAGTGCTCCTCCTCTTTGCTTCTTAATTTGTGGTTCAATTGCACAGATAGATTGCTCAGAAACCAATAGGTGGGATGGTTTTGCCCACAGATAGAGCAACTAGATCACATGCTAAAATGTAGGCAATTAAATTCTGATGACCAGATGAAATTGCAGAATAATTCTCTGCATATCCTGTTAACTGGAGATCTTTACATGATGTTTCTACAATTAAACTCAGGTATAAATTGCTTTTCTTGGTCTTACTACTATTATTATTATGATTGGTTGCAGTTAGACAGATATTTAGACTGGATTTGATACGTTGTACACATATCAAGTCTTTCCCAAGGATCTGGGATAGCTGAATATTATCTGATATTATTAAACTTATCATTGCAAGATGTAAGCTGTTCCAAATAAAACTGCCTTTTGCAACTGAGTGACAGTGATTTTGTCAATGCTGATGGTATTCAGATGGTATGACAGATGGTTTGGAATTGCATCCAAGGCATCTATTACTATTACTACCTTCTTTTGCCATGTCTTTCTACTTCTATTTGTAGGTTTTTATATTTTATGATTTTCTCCTGTTCTTTTTCTATTCTGCTGTCTTCAGCTACTGCCGTGTCCAATACCCAGACGTTTTTATCTTTTTTAATCAGCAATTATTACATTTTGGGTATTACGTGGCAGGTATTGCTCTATTTAAATTCCAAAACACTTTAGCTTCTTTGTTTTCTATTACTTTGTCTAATTTGGGTTCTTACCAATTCTTACAGTCAAATGATATTCCTTGCAACAATGAACCACTGTTGCTACTTTGTTATGCCGCTGCTTGTAGTCTGTGCAATGTTTTGCAGCATGTATACAGACGATTCACTGTTTCTTCAGCTTCTTTGTAAAGGTGGCAGTTGCTGTTTGTTTCTGTCTTCTTAGTTCTGGCTTTGTATGCATTTATTCTTAGAGCTTTTTCTTATGCAACCACAATTATACCTCTGTCTCTTTCTCCAACTTTCCTGCTCTTAGCCATTGTCAGGGCTTAGTATCTGCTTTGCCTACAATTTTCTTTAGAGCCATATACTACTTTGCATTGCCATGTCTTTTTCTGTTCTTCATTTGATCTTACTTATAGGCCAGTTTGATTTCTTTAGCTTGGTAAGCCTTCATAGTATACAAGCTTCAGTGGATCTTCTGTGTCCTTCAGATATTCTTTTACTGCTCTTTTTTCTTCTTCATCTTTCTGTTGTAGTTGCAACTTTATTATCATACAATAATAAAATATGGAAGTATTATTATTACTGCTGAATCCCTAAAGACTCTGAACATAGTATACTTCTACTATTAATGTAGAGATATTTCTGAATGTTCTCCGTTTCCCTAATTCTGTTTTAAAACTCTGTTCTCCCTCCAACATCGGATGATGTTGTTCTCTTTCATTCCTCAGGGAACAAGTACATGCAAGCCTTTGTGACTATTTTCTTCAATTAACTCCTGCCACGGGGATATGTCCTTCTTGAAAGTCTAAGAGTGATAAAAGTTCCATTGGAAAAGTTAGGTAAGTAACTTTGAAGCATAAATACGTTTTATGAAAGTACATGATTTGATAGTTCCTTCATTTCTTTTTATTAATTTATATTCCTTTATTAATTTATATTCTGGCCTTTGATTAATTAAGGTGACGATAACAATTAAAAATAACTATTCTAATTTGTGAAGGAAAAATGCAGAATTATTAGTTATGTTAATCAAGAACTTTGTCAAAACAAAAAGGACTGTGAAATTTCTGGTTCTTCAGAATTCTAAATCAGATAAGATGGAAAAGAAGCTGGTCTCACTATCAATCATCAACTTTCTTCTGAATGTTTGTAGAATGAAAATTGTAATATTGTTGTACAAAATAGGAACCCTGATATTATTATGAAGTTTCACTTCACAATAAAAACCTAAGATAAATAAATGGCGAGTCAGAAAATCGTGTATGTAGTTCAAGCAAATACACTACTCCCATCACTGCTTCTATTGGAATCCATTGGAACCTGTGGGAAAACAAGTTTTCATTCCAATTCACATTCTTCTCAGCTATTTTCCATTTCAGCCATAAGGCTATATAAGTTGCTCCTTTAATAATAGAAGGATTTAATGTTGAAAATGGACTCTTTTCAGATATTTTATGTAAATTTTATGTAAAAATATGAAAATCTTCTCAGTGACTAATATCCCGTGAAATCTGATTCGACTTTTTGTTAAATGAATTCAATGCTAGGGATCCAAGATTTTGGAAAGTTAACCCTCATTTGGATGTACTTGCCATTTAATGTATTTACATGCGTGAAAGCCATATTACAGCTCAATTAGTGTATATAGAGTTTTCACTATTTTGTTGTATCTCCAAAAATAAAACTCTTTTCAATGGGCACAATGGGTTAATCAAGTGCTAGGAGCTGCAAATCGTCAGTGAGTCATTTTTTCATCTCAAATATGGTAAGATTTATGAAGATGAAAAGTGATCTTTTCTTTCCCTGGTTAAAATTCAATGTGTTCTCTTATATATGGAAATCAACATGGTATTGTTACTATTATATGTTTCCAATATTTTTAAAAGCTTTGCATTGTCTCCCTTTAATAGTAAACAACACTGTCTTTTTCAGTAACAGGGAACAAGATGGACAATCTAATAAATGGAACAAATGATGTATCTACCACCACTGAATATGACTATAGTGATATGGTAACACCATGCCAAGCGAAGGCTGCCCAAAAATTTGGTTCCAATATCCTGCCAATCCTTTATTCTTTGGTATTTATTGTTGGTCTTTTGGGTAACATGCTAGTTGTACTGATTCTAATCAAATATAAGAAATTCAAAAGTATGACTGATATATATCTATTAAATTTAGCCATTTCTGATTTATTTTTCATTTTCTCAATCCCATTTCGGATTCATTATGTAGTAGATGAATGGGTATTTGGAGATGCAATGTGCAAAATTATTTCTGGAATCTATTATTTAAGCTTCTATAGTGGAAGCTTTTTCATAATCCTCTTGACTATTGATCGGTATTTAGCAATAGTCTATGCAGTGTTTGCATTAAAAGCCAGAACTGTATTCTATGGCATCATCACAAGCATTATTACCTGGGGCCTGGCAATTCTAGCCTGTTCACCAGGAATAATCTTTAATACGGCACAAAGAGAAAATGGTAGGATAACATGCTCTTTTCATTTTTCTCATCAAAGTCACTTTGTATGGAACATGTTCTTTACACTGGAACTGAACTTCATAGGCTTGATTTTTCCAATGATGGTTATGACTTTCTGCTATGCATGCATCATAAACACTTTGCTGAAATGCAGAAATGAGAAGAAGAACAAAGCAGTCAGGCTTATTTTTATCATAATGATTGTTTACTTTCTTTTCTGGGCCCCATACAATGTTGTTCTTCTGATCCAATTGTTCCAAACTGATTTATCCCTTGATAACTGCAGCAAGTTAAGTGGTATCGGTATAGCAATTCAAGTGACCGAAACACTTGCAATAGCTCATTGCTGTATCAATCCTGTGATCTATGCTTTTGCTGGTGAGAAATTTAGAAAATATACTATTACCTTTTTCCGAAAACATGGTGGTCACCATCTCTCAAAATACTGTATGTTTCTATACCGAGAACCTCTGGAACGGGCCAGTTCCACGTACTCTCATTCTACTGGAGAGCAAGACATTTCAGCAGTCTTATAAAGCATATATTTAGGGGAAAAATGAGTGTTTTTTATTGGTGCATTTTTATGGATTTCTGCAGTACAGGTAGTCCTCAACTTATGACCACAACCGAGCCCAACATTTCTATTGCTGGGTGAGACATTTGTTAAGTGAGTTTTGCCCCATTTAACAACCTTCCTTGCCACAATTAAGTAAATCACTGCAGTTGTTACATGTAACATGGTTAATTGAATCTTTCCCATTTACTTTACTTGTCAGAAGTTGGCAAAGGGGGATCATATGACCCAGGAACACTGGAACCATCATAAATATGAATCAGTTGCCAAGTGTCTGAATTTTGATCATGTGATCATGGGGATGCTACAATGGTCATAAGTGTCAAAAATGGTCATAAATCACTTTTTTCAGTGCCATTGTAACTTCAAAAGTGTCACTAAATGAACAGTTGTAAGTCAAGGACTACCTGTATTGGATTTAAGAAACTCCTTTCAAAGGAGTCAATACAATTTTGATGTGAAAAGGTATGTTGAAAGGTATGGATAAAGATTTGTTTTGCTATGTTAATTCACAAACCAAGCCATATATCAATGTTCATATAACATCAGTTGAATAATTGTAAATGTAATAAGGCACTTTGCAATAAGAGAAAAGAGCCTTTCTTGGGCAAAGCATATTGTAGTTGATTGCATTTGAGATAAGTTTCAAGCATCTTTTGCAGCAGGACATATGTTTACTAATTCTAACACAATATGAATGACTATGTAGGTTAGTTCAGTGACATTTAATATGCTCCAGTTCCTTATAAAAGCAAGACTTCCTCTTCTCTAAGTCCATCAAGGCTGCAATTCTGCCCATATTTCCTAGGAAGAAAACAGCTACAAGTTACAAATTGAGCTATACACGGTGGTTTTGTATTAATTTTAAATCATTAAATATTGCTTGCTCAAATTCTGGATTCTTGAATTTTTTTATTTCATAGGTTCATGGATCATAAATGGGACATTGGGGTAGCTCATTCCATTATAACATGACATAAAAAAGATTCTCCATCCAATGGGAAAAACAGTGCAACTTTAGAAGACTATTTCAAGGAGCCAGGGAAGACTCTAAGTGGAATTAGGATTCTCCAAAGTACTTATAAGGTTTCAGTCAGATTGAAATTCTGTAATGTGAATTAAATACTTCTCTATTAAGAATGACTTCCACTACCATTTACCCAACAATTATTCTGGAATTTTCTTTGGTCTGAGAACATCAATAATACACTCACATTTGCAATGTTGTACAAGTCTGGTCAAAGACACATCCAACATACAAAAAGGATATTTTGTGCTGCAAAAAGCACACTCACTGAGGAAAACTAGTAACATTTGGATCTTTTCAGCTTAGAAAAAAATCAAATGCACAAAAGAATACCAAATAGAAATGTGGTTAATGTGTTCTTCCTTACAGTATATAAATGTTTGCTCAGTGATTAAGCTAAATAAATGTAAACATGTAACCCAATTTGCAGCTAAATTAGTATTGACATCCAACAATTTCATTTTTTTAAGGGATGCTTCAGCCATCAAATCCCAGAGATCTCCTGCACAGTAGATGGCATCATTATCCATACGGTGTAAAGAGATCATATGGGAGAAATTCCTTCCTTCCTTCCTTCCTTCCTTCCTTCCTTCCTTCCTTCCTCCCTTCCCTTCCCTTCCCTTCCCTCTGGGAGGGGGAGTGGCTCTGGGGTAAAGGAGGTCCTGAGAGGCCTACAGAACCACCTGCCCCGGGCCTCCCAAATCCTTCCACAAGGGACCCTGTGCTCCATTGCCTGTCCTCTGTGGTCTCTGCAGGCTTTGGGAGTGATTCCCACCCCTCTAGGTCCCATTCCTCCTCCCCTTTCCATCCCAAATCACCAATCACTCAATTGTCTTCTGTATATCTCTGGAGCTTCCATTAGGGAAGCAGGCCACCCCAGCACTTTAGCATCTCTGCAGGTCGCATGGTACTATCCTGAAAGTGGACACCATTTTCAGAGCACCCACAATTCATTGCAACTGCCCTGAAAGTGGCACCTGCTTCAAGGATAAAACCTAGGGATACTGAGAAGTAGAGTGACTGTTTTCCCCAACACAAACTCTGGAGGTCTGAAGTTCTACAGAAGGTAAATGAATGATCATTGACAAGAGTTGGGGAGGAAGGTCTGTGACTGGTGGAGCAGGAAGCAAGCCCAAGGCCTGCGAGGACTCAATGGGGCACAAAAACAGGCCCAAACAGGAACATGGTGGGATGAGATGGCCGTTTTCGCCATCCCCAGGCTCCTAGAAAGGCTCTGGAGCCTGGGGAGAGCGAAAAACTAGCCTGGTCCCATTGGAAGTCAGCAAATGGGCCATTTCCAACCTCCAGAGGGCCTCCGTGGGGGTGGGGAAGGCCATTTTCACCCTTCCCAGGCTCCTAGAAAGGCTCTGGAGAGCAAGAAATGGGCCTACCGGACCCACTGTGCCATCATGTGCCAAAAGCGGGGGAGTTGTGCGTGCACGACCCCCCTGCACTTCCCCGCTTTTGGCACGTGATGGCAAAAAGGTTAGCCATCACTGGTGTAGGGAATAATATGTTAACTAATCCAGGCTCCAACAAAGTTTCTGATTAACAGCCTTTGAATTCCTTTAAACTCACAGCAAACATAAAAATTAATTAAACACTTAACTCAATGTAAATATATTTATAACAGTTTAAATAAAGGGACTCCATCCACATCAGTTGATTTAAGCAATCCCTTGGCCAGGATCAACACACCCGTGTCCCTCAAGTGTCACCCTAGAACCAGCACATACACACATCCACATCTCTCAAGGCCCACACCAATGACATGTTCCCCTATAAAACTCTTTTGTACCTCATTTTCTCTGTAGTTACCCCTGCAAGCAAACCTCTTTGATTAGGGAATGAATAAATCTCCTTTCCTTACAGTTGTCTGGATTTCATTTTCATTTGTTCTTGTGGAATCTCACCTCAAGTTGGAACCCCAAATTATTCTTCTGACAGTCAGAAGGGTGAATTCTCACATCACAGGTTCTGCTAAGATTTCGAAGTCCATGCTTGGGAACACAACTATACTTTGATGCCTTCTGAAAAACTGGCGGTACTGTATGGCAGAGGCAGCAACTGAAAATACCTACTCCTCAGGTCCTTCATCAAGGAGACCTACAGTATGCCTATATTGATGAATCCAATAGGATTGGTAGAAACAATGCGGGAGAAGTAGTTTTGCAAATAACCTGCCCAATGCCATGAAAGGTTTTAGATATAACAACCAAAACTTGAATTTTCCCCAGAAGCAAATAAGCAACCAATGCAGCTTGTGGAGCAGTGATATGACATGCATTCCAAGGCACATTCATAACTGCCTGTGTCACTGCATTCTGCACTAGCTATAGCTTTTGGATGCTCTTCAAGGGCAGCACTATATAAAGCAACAATCCATTTGGAAGGTGACTAAGACATGAGTGGGTGTTGAGCTGAAGCCTGTTCTTCCCTACCCAAACTATTACAATTTACAGACAATGAACCATAACTTCCAATGCATCCCTTCGTAGGCTAGGAGCAGAGATATAAAGCAGAGTATCATCAGCATATTGATGATATCTCACCCCATTTTGGCAAATGACCTCACCCAGTGGTTTCAATAAATGTTAAATAAAAGTGGGGAGAGCCCCCTTGAGTCCTGAAGCAGCACCCAATACTTTGGGCTAGATATCTGCTCCCAATCAACATCCAATGCATTATGATCAATGGTCTCAAAAGTTGATGAGAAGTCAGGAAGAGCAAGAATGGGCATACTACACACACACACACACACACACACACACACACACACACACACAGAGGAGATAATATATTAAATTAAGATAAAACCACAATAAAATCACCATACTATAGATGTAGTGACATCATCCCAAGTGCCTTGGAATTTCCTGAGGAGACATTCTAGAACTATATGTATTATAATTTGTTCTGGTGCACGATAGTTGCATTTCTGGCTCTTGGCCATTCCCCACTTAAAAAGCTTTGCTTAAGTTCTGGCATAGCCTGTCCTGATTCTATTCAGGTGACTCCATATTTTTTGGTGTGGGGGGCAACTGTATTCCTCGAAGTGGTTTTGTTGGATCTGTGTGATCTGTTAAGACCACACAGAGTACACCATTATACTCTGAGTACACCACAGAGTACACCACACAGAGTACACCACAGAGTACACCGTTGTGGAAGTAGTCTATACTCATACCCTGTGGCATGATTGTTAAATCTGGACTATTTTACAGGGTTGATAGTATTATAAGCATACTAAAGGCAGTTCTTGACTGTAGCCCAACTCTGAAATAAGATTGGAGGGTGTTCAAAAACTTTATATTCTCCAGAGCTCTTTGAAGCTGCAATCTCGTCCTCCTACTCATTCTCATTATCTAAGCTTCAATTCGATTCACAGTCTGGGACTGGTAAAAACTTAAAAGTTCAGGTCCTAACCAAGGACCTAAGAGCTGTTAAGGTAAGTATATTATTATTATCAGTATCATTGTTATTAATCATCATAAATCAGCCAGATGTTCAGACTGAGTTTGGCATTTTTGTGTACCTATTGAGTCCTTATCAAAGACCTGAGATAGGCAGATCTGGATGTTTGATGATGTTACAGATATCGTTGCAGGATGAAAGCTGTTCCAAGTAAAGTCTCCTTCTGCAATTGACCGATGGAGAATTTGTCAATGCCAATGACAAATGGTGTTCAAGTGGTGCTCTGGTTGTTTTGAAATTGCATCCAAGGCGCGTATTACTATTGGTACTAACCTTACTTGCCTTTGCCACAGTCGTTCTATTTCTATTTGTATGTCTCTGTATTTTCTTATCTTCTCCAATTCTTTCTCTTCTATTCTGCTGTCTCCAGGCATTGCCACATTTACTATCCAGACTTTTTTGTCTTTCTTATCAACAATTGTTAAGTCTGTTAAGTTTTGTGGCAGGTGCCTGTCTGTTTGAATTCTAAAATCCCAGAGCAATTTAACTTCCTCATTTTCTATGACTTTCTCTATTTTATGGTCCCACCACTTCTTGCTTGCAGGCAATGATATTCTTGCAGATTTTCCAGTGCAGCATTGCTGCTACTTTGTCATGCCACCGTTTGTAGTCAGTCTGTGTAATCTTCTTGCAGCAGCTTACCAGGTGGTCCACAGTTTCCTCAACCCCTTTGCATAGGCGACACTTACTGTCTGTTGCTGTCTTCTCAATTCTGGCTTTGTATACATTTGTCCTTAAGGAGTGATCTTGTGCAGCCAGAATTAGTCCCTCAGTCTCCTTCTTCAACTTTCCTTCTCTTAGCCATTGCCAGGTCTTGTTATTATCTGCTTTCCCTGCTATTTTTTAAATGTACTGGTCACATAGTGCTTTGTCTTCCCATGTCTCCATTCTGATCTTCATTTGGTCTTTCTCATAGGCCAGTTTGGTCTTTCCAGTAGTCAGTAAGCCTTCCTAATATACTAACTTCAGTGCATCTTCATCATTGTCCTTCAGATAATCTTCCAAAGCCATTTTTTTCTTTTTCAACCATCTGATGTACTTGCAATATTCCACACCCACCTATTTGCGTTGGTAGATAGAGTCTGTCAATGTCACTGCGAGAATGAAGGGCATGATTCATTGTCATTATTTTTCTGGTCTTCCTAACCATTGTTTTTAGTTCTGCTTGAGTCCAGTTCACTATTCCAGCTGTATCTAATGACTGGTATTGCTCAGGTGTTGATTGCCTTGATTGTATTTCCTCCATTTGAGTTTGGACTTTAAGATCTTCTTCATTCTCTTGATGTATTCATCTCTAATCTTTTTCTTGACTTCAGTGTGCTTGATGTTTTCAGTTTCAAGGTTATTCAGGTATTTGTAGTAATCATTCTCATCCAGACTCTTAATGTTAT